TAATAATAATTATTAATAATAAAATAATAATATTAATAATAATAATTTAATATTCTTATTTTTAATTAATTTTCGGCCTTTCTTCTTTTATTAAACAACATATTATCATCATCATTACTACTACTACTTGTTTCTATAATTTATCTATAATAAATAATATTCTTTCTTTATCCATTTTGTAATTTTTTGCTGCCTAACTAGTTTTATTTGTTCGAACACCAAACTGCACTGACAAAAATGTCAGTGCAATATTTCTTGCACTCATTCGGTTCTTTCGGTTGGTCCGAATTAAGGTTGATTTAAGGTTGATTTAAGGTTGATTTATACTGGCCGTAAACTGTTAACTTATGCCGTAATCTGTAAAAATTGACCAATCACAGTCGAATGAGAGGGGAATAATCGATTATAATTGGTCAATTTTTACAGATTACAGCATAAGTTAACAGATTACGGCCAGTATAATCCAACTCTTAGTCTTACATAAAATACACGTAGAAACCATATTACTCAATTTTATTTTGTATCTAATATAATGTATATAATTTTCCGATTTTAATCTGCACCGCAGTAGTATTACTGCGTAATAATACCTCTGTAATGGCTCCTGACTTTAAAGAATACGTTACTGTCCTCCCTCTCCTGCAACACAATTCGACCAATAGGACAAAAGTAGAAAGAGAGTTCCGTGCCCAAACATTTACCTTACTCTTTTTAGGTCCGTCAATACGAAAGATCAAAGAGATTTCGCCGTATGCTCCGTCCAGTACTATATGTCGATGAGTGAAACCAATCAGAATTCTACAATCATTCCGCTACATTACTTTCTGCGATTGTGATTGGTCTCGCTGTTCCGTTCCGCTGTAGATTTCCGCTCAATGTGACTCCAGCCTTATAGCGTTTTCCACTTGGAAAACTGGTGCAGTACTAGCGCCGTGCTACCCAATCAGCATACCATATTTAAAAAATATTTTTTAAATATGGTATGCTGATTGGGTAGCACGGCGCTAGTGT